TATAGGGACTCTATTCCCTTATTCCTTGCTAAGGACCAGTAATCATGTCTGTCATGGCAGGAGATGATTGGGCATTACCTGGGCGAGTTCTCTATCACCTACAAGCCGCTTTCCTGGAGTTTCAAGGAGAGAGAACGCGTCCTACGTAAGCTTAACAGGCTTCCCCTAGCATTGAACCCCCCTGCCCCTCAATGTTAAGTACTCCCTATAAGATAAATCTAAACTTAAACCATGGGAGTGTGTAGAACTCGGGAAAGGGACTACTTCACGGGCTTGCTGCAATTTTTTGGGCAGGAAGGTGGGGTGATCATGCAGCTGGCGCCATAACGATTGCAGCGTTGTCGGCTGGAGCCTAGAGTGGAGAAGGGTTCAGGCTTTGTGTGCGGGACCTTAGCACAGGGTGAGATCCTGTAGCGTCTTCGCAAGACCTTGCAGCGCACTGAGCTACGAAAGACTGCTTCGGCCCGTGTATTTGTAGATGCAAACAGGAGGGCTCCTTGGCCAACAGCAGAGCTCCTGTTGTCTGTAGGGTTCCAATGTCAGAAAGGATTTGGTACATGCTTCGCTGTGCAACTATGGCTGGAGACTGCAAGAAACAAAGATGTCATAGCAGAGGCCGATCAAGCACGGACGTGCTGGCATGATGAGCCACGCGGCTGCAAGCTTTCTGCTTGGTGGAGATCTGCGCATGTCAATCCACAACTCATTTTCAATCAAGTTTCTGTAGCCCGATTTGGAGCGGACTGCATAGTCCCCCTTAAGTACATAGAATATGGTTTTGGGTACCTTGTAATAAGAGCCCCCATATACCCCATATTCTATCTACTTAAGGGGTACTATAGTCTTCATAGGGCTTTGGGAGGTGCACCATATTAGATGTGGTCTTGCCTCGCAGGCAAGAACTCCCAGTTCGTGCCGCTGAAGTGAGGCAGATTGAAGAGAGACTCAGTGGGCAGAGGTGCAAAAAGTTCAGGCAGGCCTTTTCATGTCGTGAACTCCAGGTCCTAAGCCCCTAAACTTTGAAGATCTAGGCTCATTCTTGCTCTTGCAACCTAGACCCTGCTACTCAGACCACCCAGTACATGCAAAATCTCAAGCAGCTTGCAAGCACATCCTCAAAGCACCAATGCTTGCAGTGCCACAAGTATCTGAACCCGTTTGTCTAGAGCCCTACCCGCAGAGATGCAGCAAAGCCGGTATGCATCAGTAGTTTTTGGCAGCCCTCTGGCAACAGCCAGCCACCTACACAAGTGCAACGCACAGAGCCTTGGCGGCATAGAGGGAGCAAATTACAGATCTCGGCCCAGCTGGCTCCCGCAGCTATGGCCGCCAGGGAGCTGGAGGTCCCGATCGCTGTCAGGGCCTCACGGAGGGGGCGGGAAGTTGATGTACCATGATGAGATCCTGCAGGCTTAGTGGAGGGTTGAGGGTTTAGGGTTTCTGTTTTGCTTGCGCTTGGGCTTCAAGGGCTGACTGCAGGCCAACAAAAAAGGCTCTTCCCTTCAAAGCTCTAAACTCCCCAGACCGCAATTTCGCAACGCGGCCCAAATCCGAGAGCCTTGAATCCCGCCCCTCTTTTAATCCCGGCCTAAGCCCTAAACCAAAAGCCCTGTAGACTCCGGTCAGAGAGAGCAGATCCATCCCTAAGGATGAGGGCGCCCCACAAGCGGCCGCAGAAGAGGCGAGGCTGGTAACTGGTAGGTCCGTGGACATAGAGGCAGGAACGTTACCTGGAGGAACATGTAAGGGTGAGTAAACCAGGAGCTGAAGCAATCTCACTTTCCCCTTTCCTGAAACGAATCCGAGTGTTTGGGGTTAAGGGATGAAATCCGCGTGTGGAGGAAGCCCTAAACCCCCGCACGTCTCAAGGCCCTCCTTTGATGCCAGAGCCTCAAAAATGCTAGCCCCAATGTGATGCAACAGTTCTGCAGGTTTTCAGTCAAATCTTACGAGATTTCAGGGCACATCTAGCCCACTTATGCCTGCCCATGAACCTCCGAGTACAAGTGCGGAGGGTTGCCAGCAGCTGGTGGGTTAATCCATCAGAGCATCAACAATGAACAATCAAATGCACACTCAAATGGAAAACGACATGGAAGCTACTATATGGATCGTTCAAGCTGTCAGATTTTTCCAGTAGGAGTGGAAACCCAAAGTCGTTAATAAAGGGATTTTGGTAGCCCCAACCCCAAGAATTAGGACCCTATGACTATCATATGCTGGCTATAGGGTCCTAAATTTGGGGGTTGGGGTTACCAAAGTCCCCTTGATTAATAAGAGATGCTGCAAGGTGGTGTTGCAGCATCCCTCTGGCAAAATCATTTACGTGGCACGGGTGTTTATCAGAGTTGGTCCAGTTTTCCCCAGTAGGCTGACGATTTCTTACAGGTACACCACAAGGAAGCCCATAGTTTTTCAGAAGCTCTTTTCAGCCTAAACCCTAATATACTTATTACAGTATAGTAGTTACCATTTTCTTTTCCATTCACCCCAATATAACCCCATATGACCCCAATATAACACCAATACAACTAACAATAACTCCCAGTACTTTCAACCAAAAAGCCTTCTCTAAACCCGAATTAGCCTCTGTGCAATCATCGGAGCCCTCCGCAGAAGGCAGATGGCGGCGGTGGCGGTATCAAGGACCGCCCTCACTCTACGCCTGTGTGAAGGGGATTCAGGGTTCAAAGTATGCTGGATGATAGTAAAGTATAGTCCCCCTCAAGTAGATAGAATGTGGGGTATATGCATCTTATTATCATACACCCAAAGCCATATTCTATCTACTTAAGGGGACTATAAACTTCTTCATCTTTATGAGGATGTCAACCCCAGCAAGGAACACAGAGGATGATGTATGATCGTGTTCTATGAGCAGTAAACTACGTCGGGGTCGAAACCTGTTTTCTCACAGCTATTCCCCCACAATATTTTGGTTCTTAGGTGCTTCATTGTTGAACCCCGCAGAATACCCAGAATACCCAGAACCCCTGAGCCTAAGCCAGGAGATCTTGGATGTTCCTTGGATCAACCGAAGGACGGGCCTGGATTTGAACCTCGGCTCAAGGCCAAAGGGTCACTTCACATCTTCAGGGTCCTTGAGCCCTGAGCGACCCCATTTGAAACTCCTTAAAGAGAGTTATACCAGGGAGTATACAGGGACTATTATGGGGGTTATTAAGGGGGATACTAGGAGTGTAGACTATGGCGGCGTATGTAGAAGCCACCCTATTTTGAGAAGCTCCGGTATGCAGAATCTTGAGGAATTAGCAAATTAGTCCATTACATTCCTCACGATTGAAAAGTGTGAAATGCTACCCCCAAGCCCTTTTTTGAGTATTTTGGCGCATGCACTATGGGCTGGAGGTTTGGGGTTGCAAGCAATTTGGAAAATCCGAATCCAAGTCGCTTGTTTGAGCCCAGTTTTCAGCTTGGGGCTTTGAAATTGGGTCATAGGGCTGTCAATCACAACATGCTAGTGTTTTGCGTGCTGGCACGCTCCTGTGGTTCCACCACGGAGATGTTCACATTTAAAGTTTCTACGCGGCTGGGTTTAGAGTTCAGGGATTGGATTTGGGAAAGCGCAACTACTTTGCTTACAAGCTCCCACAAGCCTTGTGTCACCACATTCCTCTGACAATTCATGAAGTAGGGTTTTTGTTGTGGTTTCTGTTGAGTGTGCATAGAGACCGCACATGAACACCATGGGCCGCATCAGCTTCACAAGTGTTCTGCTACATGCAGCTGAAATCAAGCTCCCTGCACATGCCTTCAACGAGCAGATTGGGGTGCTGCAGACCAAAGCTTTTCTGCTGGTGTCTTTAGAGCCCAACGAAGGGAGCTCAAGAATTTGGGGAATGATGCGCGCATAATCCTTCTCTGGTTGCAGAGTGCTGTACCGTCAAACTTCATTCTGGTGTTCTGGCCCCTAAAGCTCCCTTAAGTCCCTCAACTCCGTAAACTCCCTTCACGAAAGTCCCTAAACTGCTTAAACCCACTGCAAAAAAGTCTTTAAACTACCTAAAAACTCCGGAACAAGCATTTCGCCCAGGATCGTTATCACCGTGCTGGGTATAGTGCTGGGCCTGCTTTCGGTGCCGTACTGCCCCTTGGCCTGGCATTCCAGTTTGGGTCTGATTTGCGGTTCAGGGTTTAAGGTTTGGGGTTCAGGAGGCTGGGATAGAAACCCCAAACCCTGAATCCAGAATCTACTGCTCAGAATGGGTCGCAGAAAGCTTTCTTTCAGAGAGGTTTGAAATTTGGAGCGTGGGCAGTCCACATGGACGTCGACTCCTGGTGCCAACTACCTGCTCGGTAAGTAGCAGGGTTGGCCTTGGGCGAGACCACCTGCTCAGTCAGAGGGGAAGAATTTGGCCCGAATACCTAAATGGAGGTTTCCCAAAATTATGGGTACCCTTTTGGAGGCCCCAGTAATAAGGACCATAGTATTTTGTGGTCCCCTATTTTGGGAAACTACCAAAACCCAAACCCAAAACCCTAAACCCAAAACCCAAGACCCAAAACCCTAAAGGCCTAGACTCCTAGACTCTTGGCCGGGACACCGAGGTGCTGGCGTGGAGAAAATCCCCGAGCTCTGGCGCCTTGGATTTGAGAGACTCAGTCAGGGTTTAGAGTTTTGGGTTAAGGTTTTCGGGTTTAGTTTTGGGTTTAGGGTCTTGGCTTTGGGTTTTGGGTTTCGGGTTTCATGTGCTCTGCACATTGGGGGGAGTTTTCTGTAATCTTGTTTCTCGAAATCACCGACCTTCCCGGAGAATGTGAATGCCTTGCTGCTTAACACCCCGACCCGTCGTATTCACTGCCTTCTTGGACTCCTGGAGGAGTGCTTAGTAACGGAGAGCGGGGTGATGTTTTATTATCGGAAGGCATCGTGCCTCCATCGTACTTACTACGGGTCTCTATAAAGGTATTCCATAAACTCCCAACTGTTTCGCCTTTGCTAGATCGTTCTCAGGGGCACGAGTGTGAGAGACAGAGGAGGACACGCATAGCGCATAGAAGAAGAAGAAGAACAAGCAGAAGAAGAAGAAGAACAAGAGGCTCCTCTTGCGCAGAAGAGGAAACATAAGAAGGCAACCCTAAACTCTAAACTTACTCTTGGCTAGCTAGGAACACAGGACTGGAAAAGAAAATGGAAACTATTATAATGGGCTATATAGGGACTACTACAATGATCCATTCCTTCATTCCTAGCCAACCAAAGGTAAGTAGAAGACTTGCTGGTGCTTAAGGGGGAGTGGTGGAGTGAGTATAGGGACTATCATAGGGATGAGCTATAATCTAAACTCCTTAAAGGAGGATTATATAGGGGGTTATATAGGGGACTATTACGGGTTATTAAGTAGGATACTAGGAGTTTAGACTATAGCTCAAGTGGGGATTATATAGCGAGTATTATGAGGATCTGCTCTGGTGCTTTCCCTTAAGCACCAGTAAGAAGATGCTTGGTCACTGAAGCTGATTGGATGACATCGTTACGGGGAAGCTAGTTGATAGAGTCAGGGGTAAACTAGCTCATAGATATACAGTCCCCCTTAAGTAGATTGAATATGGCTTAGGGTCTATTATAATAAGATCCCCACATACCCCACATTATATCTACTTGAGGGAGACTATATAGCTACAGATCTAAGAACAGTTTCCTTTCTGAAGCCTAGCATCCCTTTGACCCATGTGCCCATCAAAAATGTCAAAATGTCAGGCTGGAACACTTTGGGCCTGAAGGCGCCGTGCCGCGAACGTGTAGGAGTTCACGTGTAGAGTGCGTTGTGCTTTCAAACGCCAGTTTGGCAGTGAGGCAGCAGGAGCAGTGTCGAATGAAGCTGCACCTGCTACTTGGAGGTCTATGGATAATTGGCTGCGGTGTTGCGCAGAATAGCCAGCACTAGCCATGTACCTCCAAAGGTGGCGAAACAGACCCCTGAGTGGAACAGCTTCCTTGTTTCCAAAGCAGCTTGGATAGAAACGAAAGTATTGCCATGCCAGGCCTGATTGACAACGTTGAGAACCTTTCCTTCTGCGGTGGCTCCACTAATTGGCCACTTCTCTTGATTTGGGTTCTAGGGCGGCTGCTCTTTGGTATTGCATGATCAGCGAGTGCTGTCGTGCGGTTACTATCTCTTCCTGTTGTTACTCTTCTTATTCTACTACTATTCACTGTTTTTGTTAGTGTTAGGTAGTATTTTTTTATGATGCTCTGAAAGCGCACCTGGGCAATCGATGACCGTGATGAGCCTTTTTTTGGCGAGTTCCGATTCAGATATCTGGCCGTGAAATTTGGTCTCTGAGGGAATCTGGAAGGTAAGCTTCCATCAGAAGATTAAGTTCATAGTAGCCAGACAATCCCAAAACTACGATTGACAGCCCCAAACCCAACGGGACCTAACCCTATACCCTAAACCCTATACCCTAAATAGTAGTTTCCATTGTATTGTCCATTATCCCAATATAACCCCAATATAACCCCATATAATCCCTATAACCCCTAAGTTTCCATTAAAAAGACCTCCAACTTTAGACTTGCCGGGCTTAGGATTTTGCTTTGTTGGGGCTTCTGCACGCTCGCGGGCGTCCTGAAGGCGTCCATGAACCTCGACAAGCACCCCGCTGGCAAGGTTTAGGGTTTAAGCCCTAGGTTCCATGCCATTTTCCATCTTGTTGTCCGTTTAATTTTCCATATAGAATTCCGATATGTCCCTATTAATACCCTAAACCCTTAACCCTATAGAATCCTTATAATAGGAACCCTACAGTCGTTCGTTTACCCTTCCGAAAACTAGGGTTTAGGGTTTAGGTCTTGAGTTTAGGGTTTAGGGTGTAGGGGGGGGACCATTTTGTTAATCGTCATGATAAGGATTATAGTATTTTGGGGTCCATATTGGGGTCCCCCTATTTATGGAAACTAACACATGGTAGGAAAATGGTTGACCGACACCCCCCAAAGAGCGACCATGAGTTTGACACTCCCGGCCTAGTAGATCTAGTCCCCCTTAAGTAGATAGAATACGGCTTTGGGTATATAAGCTAAGATCCCCAGACATCCCGTATTCTCTCTACTTAAGGGGGGCTATACACCCTGAACCCTAAACCCTAAATAGCAGTCCCCATTTCTTTTCCATTATCCCAATATACCCTCTATATAAACCCCTATATCTACTTAAGGGGGACTGTAAGGCTATCATTGGTCCTACCTAGTCTTGTCCTCCTGTTGATGGCAGCGTTGATTATCCCTGAGGGCCCAGGTGCCAAAGCAGAGCTCTTGCCCTGGCCCTCAACTGGGTTGCTGTTAAGGAAGAGGTTTAGGGTTTAGGGTTTAGGGTTGCTGTTAAGGAACTCGAATGAAGCTAGTATACTAAGGAAGCCCTAGGCCCTAAACCCTAAACCCTATGACTACAAGGTTCCTGAAAATGATTTTTAATTTCTTTTACCTAGAATCCTAATATTTAGCTGAAACTATAATTTCTACTGGGGTTCCAAATCCCTTGGAGACTACTTACTAAGATGTTAACTTCCTTAACAGCAAGCCAATCGAGGTATCCTTCCTTCATCGATGAGCTGAAGCATCAGCACAGCGACCCTATCGTTTCAACGAAGGCCCCAGGGCATCAGGATCCTGGGCCTTAGGACTTTGAAAACGCCTCACCAGGGACTCATTGTTGGGTTTATATTGGGGTTATATTGGAGTTCTATTGTGGGTTATATTGGGGGTTCTATAGGATTAGGCCGCCCAGCAATAGTGACTAGAAGGGATCACAAGGATTATATTTATGACAGGGTGGAGGGTCCTCCTAAGACATACACCAAGCTTGCCGAACCTCACCACCCATTCTGCCACATCATTTGGTTATGTCTTAGCTGACTTCCATACCGCTTCCAGAGTCCTCGGCGTTCTGGGATGCGTTTGCTTTATGGCTCACTGTGCTTGGAGGTTCATGGGCATGCGTGGGGTTAGAAGTAGGACGGCGCCACTTTTTGCCATATCTCTCATCTCGGAAGATGAGCTTCTTGTGGGTGCTTCTAGCTTCCACTTGTAAGGGCTGTGTGCTTTCCAGAGCTCTACTAGGTGGTCATCTGCTGCATCGCGTCACTCGCTGCTGGCGCTGTGATGGGTTTGGAGGCCATGGGCAGTCCATTTCTTGCGCAGCCCAACCCTGACCCAAAACCCTAAACTTTGATATTATAGCAGATAATGGTATATTATAGGCGATTATAGTAGATTGTAGCATATTATAGAGAATTATAGTATATTATAGCATAATATAGGATATTATCGTAGATTATTGTAGTCCTCTTCAAGCCCCTTTGTATGGGCTTCCCCATAGATCTGCTTCCGGTTGAGATGTTCTTCCAAGTTCCAACTGGAATTCCTGGCATTCACTTCTGCAGCCATCCTCATTGCTGTCGTTACCTCGCCCTGAAATGCCAACAGCATGCTCGCAGGTTCATGGATACTTACAGGTGAGATTAGAAGTTGGAGAGCTACAGATCGAAGCCTTGTTCTGGTCAGAACTATGGGTAGCCTACCTGTGGCTCTTCTATCTACTGGTTCATAGAAGAGAAATTCTTAGAGGAATATAATCCCTATATATAATCACTATGTGATCCCTACATAGATAATTCCCTTACTCTCTACTCACAGCCAGTTCTCCTAAACCCGAAACCCCTAAACCCTAAACCCTAAACCCCTGAACCCTAAACCTTCAAGCGGCTTCTCTCCCCTCAGAGGCCGGATTGGGCTCAGTAGGAGGTGCCCTGGGCTATGTCTTCTACGTGGCGCTGGAGAAGTGCCCCATTTTCTCCCAAGATTAGGGGTTTAGGATTCAGGGTTTAGGGCTTAGGGTTCAGGGTTTAGGGTAAGACTGGAGAAGGATTTGTTGAGCGCAGCGTTGAGGGCTTGGGGTTGCGGGTTGAAGGTAAAGCTTCAACCGTTCCATGCGGAGTTTCCTGAAATCAGCAAAAGGGACCTCACATCCGTTTTAGCATTTGCATATGGATCCCTACATAGTGAGTCCCTTTCCATCTGAGCCAAAATTCAATTCTGGCAGGCTCATCTTTGTGCCATCAGTGCTCATACCGTTTGTAGCACAGTTCACCATCATGGTGCGAATCAGCCTATTCATTCCCACTGACCCTAAACCTGCGCCCGGCTTGAAGTGACCTGCTGGCATGGCAATTGTTTGCATGTTTTCCTCTCAGGCTTTTTGCTGGACATTTTGTTGTGCAGCACAGGGCTTTTAGCTCAAATCAGGCTATGTGAGCAGGTTAGTAAGGACTACCTCAGGAAGAGGCTAAAACCCTGAA